TTCTTTTGGTAATACTGTTGAATAAGTATCGCAAAAAGCCAGTGAGCAACCTTTTCTCAGAATTTTTTTCAATGAGCAAATTTGGGGCTCAAAAGTTGATCTTGAGAACATGCAAACCGAATAGTGTCTTCCTAGATTCACCTCACACTAACAGTACTATCTTCACTTGTCTGGAAAAGTGCGGTCAATTTTGAATTTTGAAAAGTGCCAAAGATTTCAAAGTTGTACCCCGGTAATATACAGAAGAGGAATATTAACATGCACAAAAATTATTAGAAAGAAATTCATTGCTTTGCATTGTTCCTTTAAAGCTACATGTATGTCTTTCTGCAGGGAACAGACAGATTTCGTAAGCAGGAGCTTTCCTTTATTTAGCTGCACTGCAGAATTTAGCCAAGGAGCAGTCATGCCAAACTGAGCAAGTGCTAGGAACCGCCTGGACGGCTTGGTCCCTGGGAACCTATCAATTCACCATTCTTGGAAGGGAGGGGGAGGGATGGGATATTTTCACAGGTTTTGCGGAATTATGGTTGGAAGTCCTCTGAGGTTAGGAACATTCGAACAACCCTGCCTGGCTGAGTTTGTGGTTGTAGCTGATTACAAGGTACCTGTGCCTGAAGATGGGAAGCAGTGACAGGAAAGGGGCAGGGCATATTTGAAAGGGGGGGCGTACTGAAGTGTGTGAACTTTTGTTGTTGGAGTGATGTTGATTTTGCTGTCAGGGTTTGTGGTGACTACTGCCCCGGTTCAAACTAGTCGGTCAGTCACAAGTAATTGAGCGGTGAGGTGTTGACACCAGAACTGAGGTATTTAAGCAGCAGGTCTAGGGTTCCAGTCCCACCCGAGTGTCCCCTCCTGAGGAAACCTGCTGTGCAAGTTGTCACAATATTTATCAGTTTGATGAGTGAGCTTTGGTCTATTTGCAAATGTTAATCTGACCTGCCCTTGCCCATCCATTTCATCTGGAATTTTCCATTATAAAAAAAAATTCTATACCTTCTATTAAGTTGATGGCTGACTTTGGCAATACTTGACCTCGGAATCGTGTAGCAAAAATGTAGACTCAAGTCAATTGCAGTGTCCATGTATCGCAGCTATTCAGTTGATACATGTATTCTGATTACACATCAGCCTTACCAGTTCCACTCCATACATGTATATTAAACAAATAGCATGATGCTTGTGCATGAGCCTGTCGACAAGGTTCTATTTTTGGTCAGTGCAGCTTCTACATTGCCGCTTCCTCACTAATGGGGCACAATTGGCTGGAAATTTGGGATTTGAAAGGGGGCCACTGGACGCTACAGCCGAACCAAATATTTTGTTGATGTTCTCTCCTGTACACTCAGGCGCCTTATGATATCGTGTTTAGAAAACATAAAGAACTTTCTTTGTGCTTCAGAAAAAACTGGGGTCACTGAAAATAATGACGTACAGTGTAGGTATGTAACATGGATGGAAGTTTGCTTTATATTTCCAGGACTTGTTGTCTTGTATTACCCGGTATGTCATTGATATTCATATCTCATTTAGGAACGGATAACAGGCAAAATGAGCACCAGTTTCGTGATCTGAATGTGGACGAAAATTTGTGACAAATGTTTGTTCGTTGTGCTCTCAACATTCTGGATATGTATTGGTATTGGTGTCATGTAATACCCAGCAGAATCTTAAGTACTCAGGTTGAATGAACTGTCTTGGTTTATCCTTGTAATATTGCTCTAGGGAACATAATTAAACACCACAATACTTCATGTTTATTTACCGTAATTATAACTCTCTGAAAAAAAATCAAACATACTTTTTGTCCATGTTATATATTGTAATGTACATACATGTACATGTAACATTCTAAGCGACATATATCCGGTTATCTCGACGTTTTCGTGACGCCGATCAAAAAAAATCACCAAATCTCTTCAAAAACCGCCACGGGACCTCGTGCATGCCACACCACATCGTGAAGCTCAGGCTGCATCTGAATCTCTTGTCTTCGCTCCATTGGAAATGCGTGGAGATGCATAGACAACAGACCTAGCCGTAGCTCTGGAAGCCTGTGTTGGACACGGGTTCATACTGCATCTACACCTACCCCAACATCCTGACTGCTACTGCATGCCCATTCATGGACAGTCCAATCGCTGACTTTTTCCAATAACCATGTGACCACAGAAAGTGACATGTCATCAGAAGCCCAAGTGAAAACAGACCTGAAATGTCGCACCAAACCCACAATCGGCGAAAAGATGAGATTTGCTACATGAAGATACACGTACAATATAGTTGATTTTATTTATCGATCGAAAGAAACCTTTCGATAACAAAATACTACATGTAGTATTTCAATATTGATTTTTTTGTGTGCCAAACAACAACACAAGAATAAATAAAAAGTGGGCAAATAACCCGACCCATGTCGCTACAGCAGAGCAAGTTAAGTTTGTTCTAACCATGTGCTTTGTGACTTCATGACTTGGGGACTCCCGTTTAATTACTCAAAATCCAGACAACTTTTTAAACATTTATTCTCCGACGTTGACGAGTGTTTATTTATGGTAATCCATGAAAACAACTGCGCCACGCAGGTACGGCTCGCCGTGGTGAGCACATCCCCGCGATCGCGCTGCATGGACTGGACAGCTTGCAAGGAAATCGCTACGAGACTACATCAGCACACTCCATGTAGTGAGTTGGCCCCGACTGGCCCCAAGTGCAGCACAGCCTGCATAATTGACTCTTCACTGTATAACAGTCATGTGCGTGTGTGGCCAGTGTGGAGCATTTTCGCTGCACAACGCTTCTCGTTTTCAAGTGTCTGCATAATTTTTGGAACCTTGCGCACCGCTTTCACAAAATTTTCACACTGTTTTCGCACCCTTTTTTTCTCAGTGTTTTCACAAATGTTTCACGCCATGTTCACAAAAGATTCGCACCGTTTTCGCTCTGTTTTCGTACGTCGTTTGCCCCTTTCGCATCCGATTCGCTGCGAATTAGCTGCGAATTCGCAGAGGGAAAAGTTGTGATCAAAATGCGAATTCGAATGTGAATTCCTTTCGCATTTTTTCCCATTCCTTTTCGTAGCGTTAACTTTCAAATGCAGTGTACTGTATTTAGTCCATTTAATGTAATCCACCTTACAAATTAACTTTGCTCTGTGCTATGCTGCCCTATTGTCTTGGAGTCATTGTTGGTAAATGTCAGAAATGTCACCTGGCCGATACCCTAAAAAACATTTTTACACACATTTTAGCCCATGTGCTAACACCTTCAGAAATGTTTACCAGATATGATACATGTATGTGACTCGTCACAACAAAATGAGCGTAAAGTCGCATTCCGCTCTTTTTTATTTTGAGGGTTTAAACTGATATTGAAGGTGGTCAGTTTTCGAGTTCATTTTCTCAGTAATTTTGACGATAGCATTGTTCATGTCTTGTCAGAAATGTTGAAACAGTGTCGGGAACAAAAATGCAAAGCCGCCAAAATGATGTCACATATTTTAACTCCAAGTACTCCATATACACACCATTGGAAAGCTCTCTACAAATATTCATGTACCAATATCTCAATTTTTAAAATTCTGACTTTCAACTCATTTTGTGGTGACAGGTCACATATTCTACTTTTTCCACAATATTAAAAGTGGGGCACATTCTTCAGCACATTATCGATAGTGGCTGTGCACATTATACACGTATGTAGTATTATACCCTGTTTGTCCCCTGTGAACTTAAAGCACGGTGCTTCTGCACTTTATATTGAAAGACTCCTGTGCTTCTGTAAAGCAAAGGGGAGATGTATATTGGATGCAGAGGCCCTGCTAGTACATGTATGTCATCTGTCAGGCAGGCCACTCCACCGTGCATCTGCCTGGGAATAATTTTTGGATTTGGCCGCCAGCTTTAGTGCTACCTTATAAATGAAGGTTGCACATTGTGGAATTGACAATCTGAGCTATTCTCTCCCTTTTTTTCGTTTGGTAGCATCCTGAATCTTACAAGTTTCAGCATGTCAAGGTTCCTTTTTCCTTGTGGGATTTTTTTTTCTTGCGCTTTCTATTATGGTTTTCTGTGGCAGCTTTTGCTTCATTTCTTTCACCTTTTCATTTAAAATTTGTATTTATGTCAGCAGCTCATTGTTTGTTGAGTTCAGCTTAGTTAATTATTTTTTCATTTATAGTTTTGATTTAATTTGTTGCTTTCGCCCCAGGTATATTACATCTCCTATAAAATGTACTTCTCTATGGTGTTTTTATGCACTTTAAGTTGCCATTTTATCATTAGGATAAAAACTGAAACATTTCAAAGTCTTGTGCCCGTAATGCACGTGCCGTGCTTGTGACTTTTGCTTTCCTGACGTAAGATGGTTTTCTTCATTTTCTTGTCAGGACATTGTTCCTTGATTAAAGTCTGAAGTGCTGCAGAGAATTCTCTGAAATAGTTCAGGAAGAAACGGACAAAGAAAAGAACAAAACTGGCAAGCCAGCCACAAACAAAGTTTAGTTTCAAAAACAGAACTACTCGTACTTGAACAGTGATGCACAATGTAAAGTTGTCATGGGAAATTTTGCAAAAGATTCATTTCCCGCTACAAGTCACAGCAATCAGGAGTTGCTGTATGTGCATTTACATAAATTAGTGGAGTTGGTTTCCCCATATTTACTTTGTTTCATAAGTCAGTGTTAGGATATAGTTGTGTATTGTGTCTTTTTTAATATTGGCAACCAAAGGGGTATAATGCCATTTTGCAGCTCACTCCACCACGACCTTGGACAAGAGAGAAAAAAAATTTCTACTATGAAAAGGTCAGGTTTGGGGTTAGGCTTGGTTGATAGAAGAAACACATGTGTGGGTTCTGCAGGTATGCTGTGTACTTTGTGTGATACATACACACAGTAGGAGAATGTACATGTACATGTAGTCTGTCTCCCAATGAACATGCACGTCTGTAGACAGAGCCAGGTTGGTACACACATACATGTGTACTCACACACACACACACACAAAAAGGCGTAGAAATGATTTATGCGCTGGATTCCTGAGTTGCATCTCCTCACCCAGGCCAGGCTTGGGCTGCTGTTCTGAACTGCCAAAGTGCAGGGTGGTTTTAATGCTGCCTGGGTGGAAGCTTGTGTACATAGTGTGTACAGGGGCGAGTCAAGCCGCTTTACCCTTTGGCCTTTGGAGGCCTAGAGCTGGCAGAAGCTACATTATTTTATCCTACATGTATAGGCTTGTCAAAACCAGCCCGAAGGCAGAGACTCCAGCTTGTACATGGACTGGGGTTTGGTAAAATGTGTTAACTGAACGTTTACACTTGCATCCCGCCTGCTTGTGTGCAACATGGCGTATTGTGTTACTTCGCCTGTGGTTCCTCCCTAGCGGCCGAGCGGCAGGGATATTTTCATTTGGCTGCCAGGATTCTTATTGCCAAGCGCCCTGGTACCTTTGGACCGCGGTGGGCCGGTGATGTCATCTGCAGACAAGAGCGTCGGCAAGTATACCTACACACAGGTTTGTGTGGGGCTGTGAGAGAGTGCATCGGCCGCGTGCACTGGGTTGGTGTGAATCATGTGGGTGCTTGTGTACAGGGAAAGGTCTATGGTGAGAAGTGTCTATGGTACATTGTACATGTACCTTTTCATGTACGTGTACTGTAGGCCTACAATGTACATGTACGCTGTACATGTACAAGTACAGGTACATGTATGGTACAGACGGCGCCTGGGTAGATGGCTCATCCATGCATTCAGTGCGCATGCTTTTAGGTACATGTAGGTAATGTGTGTACATGTACGCATGTGTACACGAGTACTTGTTTTTGTGCAGGTACATGTATCCACATACATGTACAAGTAGTCTTTGTAAATTTTACGTACATGGTCTTTGCTGTACTAATTCTGGATTTTCTAAGGGCAGTCTGACCTGTATTTGTGTAATATTTAAGCACTTCAGGCTTGGATTGGTTGGTTGTTGGTTTAATTTGTCAAGAGTTTATTTGTGAATTTTGACCTGGGTACTTTATGGTATCTTTTAGAAATTCTGTGGTTTGTAAAATTTGAACAGAAAATCCAGTAATTTAATAATAAGCAGGAGGTCCTGGGTTCGACTCCCATTAGATGTAGTCCAAGTAACTTGGACTCTGCAAATCGCCTTTTTTAACATTTGGACATGGTTTGGCAATGGTGGAGTCCAAATACCTTCCGTAGGCTCTCCATCCCATTAATTCATTTCACTCAAAATACACATAGTTTATACCCCAAATCAAATTCCTCTTAATTCACCTTCAAAACGGTCCTTAAACTGTCTAATGCGCCCAGCTTAGGAGTGAGAATCAGATCAGAGATTCCAATAATGATGGTAAGGTTTACTCACATTTGGGAAGAAATGAGTGATTAAAACCGTATGTTAATGTCCTTGAGACGACGTCACAGTGCGCTGGAATAGCGGACCATTCACAAAATGCATGCCTTGTTGGCACACAAGCACCGACGACTGATTCCTGAGCGCCACAATGTCCAGTAGCTGTGTTCACACCAAAACTGTACTCTAAGCTCCAAGACAAGACTTCAAGCTGACGACAAGACCATTTCTGATTTGAAGGGGAAGTTTCTCTTTCATTCCCAGAAGTGAGCAAACCCAACCATTGTTATTGGAATCTCTGATTCTCACTTAATCCAAAACCGGACACATTAGACAGTTTGAGGACCATTCTGGAGGTGAATTCGGAGGATTTTGATTTTGGGTACAAATGAATAAATGAAATGGAAAGCGTATGGAAGGTACATTTTGTACATGTGCATGTACTTGGACTTACTGTCGCCTAACGATGTCCAAATATTTAAAAGGTGATTTGTAGAGCCCAACTTACTCGGACTTCGTTAGAGGGAAGTTTTTGTACAGGCTCTCAGACAGCACTTGGTAGTGCTTGTAAAATTTATTTACTTTGGTGACAGTTAGAACTTAGAATTTAAACTTCTCCCTTGTAGGCTCTTAGTTGAATCTTGTATGAACATGTGCCGGTACGTGTACGTATAGTTTTAGTGATTTAGTTTACTGAACAGCCTTCAATGTTTCCTGATCAGTGTGATCAGTTGAAAAGTGGAACATGTGGATTCAGCAATCATAAAAACTTAATTGTAAAAGATATTTGAATAGCACTGACCGGTGCATTTACATGTACACTGTGTGGGGCACTTGGGTTCAGTGGGCATGTGTGGACCTGCCTGTTACACCTTTTCGCACAGGATAGAGGGTGCCGACCAGTAAGTAAGCTGTCATAGACAACAGTGATAAGTAGTATCCTCACTTTAAAATATCAGAAAAAATACAACTGTCCGTGTTCGAGCCACATATCAAGTTAAAGTTCACTTCCTTATCTTCCTCATTTTCCTTTCAATTTTTCAGTGGCTTAAGCAATGAGTTTTGAAGACATTTCTTTCCAGAGATAATCATCCCTCAAAACAGTTTGGAGGCTTATCGCCATTTTGAAAAATGATGCCTACACTCCATTGCAAAATGGAGCGATTGAAAATATTCAGAAATTTAAGCTGGCAGTCCTGCTCCTAGATACATACGTCCTCCTTTACAAACCACCCAGTCCACCTCATGAAATGTTCTAAAAGCAGAGAATTTGACAGCCTACTAGTATAAATCGTGATTCGGTCTGCACAGGCAATTTTGGATCTATTTACTTCTTCCTGTACCTGAAAAAATGGGCGTGGCAATGTTGTCTTGGCCGCCTAAGATGCTAAAATGTTATTTTGTTCAAAGAAAATGGGAATTTGCTTCATGCTCTGTTAGAGAGACACTGGTTTGTACCAAATAAATTGTAATTTTTAATTTTGATCCCATTGGAACTGCCACAAAAAACAAGATTCTCATTCCTGCCCTGAAACTGAAAAAAAAAATGGGCGTGGTTCAATTTATTTGAACCTACCAAGTCCTTGACATGTAGCGGTACAGTGTACTTTAATGAAAGCAAATTGGATCATAAGATTCACAATTCATTCATAGAGAAGTCAGATTAAAAAAAATAAGCTAGAAGTTGTAGTTTAAATCCATCGGTCGGATTTTCTTTTGTTTTCTTTATTTTTCTTTTTTGAAAATATTACATTAATTTTTGTTCTGATCCAAAAATTGGTTTTGTGTAATTTTTGGTTTGGTGATTTCTGAAGAGTCTTGATAAGTTAAAAAGAAGCACTGTTGAGAGTGTGATTATGCAGTGTTGGTACTTGTAAGTAGTATTACATACATGTACATGTATATACATGTATGTGTAACATCTGCAGAAGTGAATCTAACTTCATTGCTTTGTGCAAACTTTGACGAATGAGTGCTCACCAAAAAAAGAAAAAAAATACCCACATACCCCCCTCCCCCAATTAGTTTCAATATAATAGGAAATGCAACTATTTTTTTGTTTGGCCTTGTTAGTATGTACCGCCACATACAGGGATATTCTCATAAATAACCATAAAAAGCCAAGGGAGTTCATTAGGTTTTGAAGTACCGGTATTGTAGAATGTACCATTGGTTAAAATGGAAAGTGTTTGATTTTGGAAGATTCGGAAGACTTCCAAACCTCCATAAGTTTGTTGGTTTAATGACAGCACAACCAGCTTCCCATTTGTACACTGGTTGTGCCCTTCTTGAGTAGCGTTTACCCAGAGTGACATGCTCTGAGATGCACACGGTGCTGAGTCCCCACAGAGAGACACTGGACGTGTGTGCAGACGTGACATGCCGAGACGCACACGCGAGTGCGTGTCTGCATGCATCCGTGTACTGCACGCATCACTGGGGTGCACCTATCTAGTAAGAATATCCATTCCTGTTTCAATTACCCCACATCCGCCCGGCCAATTTGTCAGTGGAACCCTAACCCCGAGCTTGACTCGCGCTAGTGCAAGCGGCAATCGTTATCCAAAGGGGGGGAGGGGAGTCTGTTGTTGTTTTGTCAGTACAGTTAGTAAAGCTGTAAGGTTCAAGGTGCATATGTTTGTTAGCTGGTGGCCATGGAAGCAGCCCGCTGAACGATTCTGAAAAGTCTTCTGCTGCAGGCAAGCTGTTGTAAAATGGTTCAGTAGCAGTACTGACATGCTGCAGTGAATAGGGGCCTACAGACAATGTTTCTGATTGCTTGAGGGCACCGTCACTGCGTTCCTTGGTATAACGGTACATTGGACAACTTACAGAACAGCATGTAGTGTTATTGAAACAAAAGTGACATTTAATGATCTTGTATCTCATGTTTATAGGACCGGTAACTTGTAAAAAATGTAGGAAGTCATCTGAATTTGACATTTTATACCAAAGTTGATCATACATGTACATGCCAGTAGTCGAAACATATCCGATACCTACAGGTACATGCATGTAGGTTTTGCAAACTCAAGAACTTCAAACATATTGTGCCACAAGTGTGGCAAGATGAAAACATGATGGGAGACTGTAGCTGTTTTGGCTTCAACTAAAGTGGCTGTAATTGTAGGGCTGGATTGTGTGATGTGACACTGCCGTTGGTCATTGCTTGTTATCACATGTTTAGTGTGATAGTGTTCCAATGCCACTCCTGTCAGAGTTGTATAGTACATGTACTTGTAGAGCAGTTTTAAATCCCTGTTCTTGACAACACTGGAGTAACACGGGAATGGTGTTCTTGAACAGGCATGTACCTGTCGTGTTGAGACAAAGCAATGCAATATGGCCGACAAATCTCACATTTGGCACTATTCGGAAGCTGAATTTGAAACAGATCAAAATGTGGCCCTTATAGCAGCCCGTCTTTCTTGGGAGAAAAGAGTAAGAATCCATGGGTTTAAATGTACATGTAATTCCGGCCGTACAGGAATCAGAATTCATATCTCATTTTTGTCTTTCGACCAAGACCTTGCATATGCCAGTACATACGCGTATTCTGCACAACACCATTTTGTTGTAGCTACACCTTGCTCAACCTTCCAACAACCGGGGAGTGAAAAATTCGATCTGCAAACACCCTCTCCGGTCTGTTTGTCACATTCACGACTGCCATTGTCATGTCAGGTCAACCCGAGTGCTGTCAAGAACAGGGATTCAAAAATGCTGGCAGAGTTGCGACATGAGGTTGTGTATAATTTGGTGTAAGTGCCATTTTGTGTCAATTTTGTCCAATGCCGTGCATAGAGTGTACCAATCAATCAGAAAATGCTTTAAAATGTAGTGCACTCAGTTGACTTGACAACTGGCAAATCAAAGCTGGACTGTCATCCAGTGCATAAACCCCGGTGATGACTTGGAAACAAAATGGCATCTACTACAAAGTTGTTTCAGCTTTCTTATTTATGGCTCTGACATGGGGCCATCAGAAAGAGCCTCCAGAATACTCAGTCTCATTTTCATTGTGTAATTCTCAGTGAAACAGTTTTCAGCATGTCAGGACATCAGAAACATGAACATTTTTGGCATCTGTGCATTAGAATTCAGTGTGTGCTAAACCATTTACATGATAGAGAAATTGAAAGTCTCTGCAACTGTGCAACATATGGTAAAGATAACAACATGGCACTTCCTTTTGATATTTCCTGTTTCTGTGTTGCTCTCTTGCCCTTTGTTACATCACAAAGTGTGAACACAGCTGCATGACAATGTTGAATAACTTCCTCCTCCGAGATATTCATCCAAGTGTTTTGACAAGTTGTGTTTTTTTTCCCCTCCGCCCTCAACAGGTTTCTCCTAGGCCCTGCCCCCCTCCCTCTACCCATGTTGATGTAGGCCGTACGCTTTTTCGTCACTGTGAAGCATGAGTGCAGGTGGCGCTATGAACAACCAGAACCCACGGCGACGGAAGAGGCCGGAGAAGGGGCCTGGGTGAGTTACATGTACCATGGAGTATTGGAGGCTCTGATAACAAGAGACTTCACAGCTGGGGGAAAAAAAATGGGCAACTGAATCATTTGGGGCTGTTATTTCACAACGAAGATAGTTGGCAGCACACATCTTAATTATACATTCATAAACATGGCAGCAGGGAAGATTACCACACAGTTCCATGATTATATTTCCACCTTTTTTCTAAGCTGCATAGTGGTAGTTCTCTGCACACACCTCTTTTTTTTTTTAGTAGTTTGCCTTATCCCTGAAGTGCCAACTGGTAGAAAGTGACGCTTGCTTGCTCCATCTGTGTTTGTGTACAAACCTATGGAAAGGGCGGAACACAGCAGAACACTTTACCATTCGCACATCTGCATTATATATGTACATGTAGTCCATACCAGTTTGGACTGAAATGCTATTCTGCGCCAAACTGGAATGTTCAGCCAGTGTGAACATGATTATTTGGTTTTGGTTCATATAAACGGTGCCCTCTTGTGCCCAGAAACTGCAGATGGTTCTTGCCATTTGAGAAATGGCCAAATCGGTATTCCTCTCACTTCCAGGAAAATCCTGCACACTGAAAATACAAGAGGCTTGTACCATGCAGTGTAAGGTATCGGGGTAATGGGACATGTGCTTGGAACTCTACAAGTTGTTCCATTTGTATGTGAATGCTAAACAGACAAACCGCTTATCAAACGTTTGCAAAGCAGACATCTTCAGTGGACCAGTCTCTAGCAGCGTACAGTGCATGGAATTTTGGTTGGTAATCAGCTTGTACGTAGCATAAGGCTGTGCCGCATATCGAAATTACCGAATATTCAATAATCAAGTTGAATATTATTTTTTCAAATTTGAATATTTGAATGCAAAATTCATGAAAAGGAAGGGAGAATTTTATTTTATTTTAAATGAGAAAAATTGCACTCTGGAGGCTTGTCCCAAGTAAATTCAAATGAGAAGCGATAAAACCTTACAACGATTTAAAAAGTACGCTTTTCATTAAAAAGTTTAAAAGGAATATACATTTTCAACAGGAAAAGAACTATTGCTCGTCTCTTAAATCTTGTTAAATCATGGCTGGAGATACTCGTACACGTGAGAAGCTGTGTAAAATTGTGTGCGTTATTGCAACTGAGTTTGTATGTGATTTATTCCTCAACAATCTGCCGGTCGGTACGACCGAATATTCGGTCGAATCGAAGGTCGAAAATTCAAATAAGGAATTATTGGCATTGACTCAGCCTTAGCATAGCATATCATTTCCTACTGGTATGATCTTTTTGAAATTGGCCTGCACTGACTTCTTCATAAGTGCATGTATTTGGTCTTGAATTGTTGTTGGTAGCTGGCAGCCTTAACCTCAACAGTCCCAAATCCTCAAATTTCAATACGATTTTGCATACACCCTTGAGGGTTAGGGTTAATGTTTATTCCAATGCGAGTTTATATTGGTTGTACGTATACATGGCAGAGTCTACCGTCAGTAAGGATTTGCAACTAAAGTGGATGTTGTCACTTCTGAGACCCCGATTCGCTGATCTATTTCCTCTGCTAATCGCTCCGGTGGTGAGTAAGGAGGGATGATGGCCGCTCAGTTAGAAATCCTACCTGATGAAGAAGAAAAGAGTTTTAAAAAGAGTTTAAAAAAAAAAGAAAAGAAAAAAAAAACAGGGAGGGATAAATGAACCAAGTCACAGGGTGTCAGAGGTTGGGTGAGCTTTAATTGCAAACACATGCCGGCCACTTATCCGTAAGCCCTGGGTTTCCGTTGATTCACGGGAAAAATCTGGATGCTGACATTCCGGAGTTACGAAAATTGGCAAGTGTGTGTCCCAGGCCAGAGTTGAACTGTGCTGCTCACCAGATGACACTAAAGAAGTACTCATTTTATCTTTTCCTCATCATTCAAGAAGAGATAATACATGTGCGTGTAGATGTGCTAATAAAACCGAAGTTCCAAAATGCATCGTATTATGTTTAAAAGCTAGCATTTTGTAACTGAGAAATCGGAGAACGCTTGTTTTGCAAAGATTAATTGAAGCCGGGTACATATATACATGTACATGTACCTGTTTCCTACGTGGTTTGGGTAGGTGTGGAACCATGTTGGCCATTTAAAGCGGTAAGGCAGAAGTAAATTTAGTCTCCTCAGTATTCCTCAGAAAAGTGGCCGGCACTACCCTTTCATGAAATAAACGGAACCGGAAGATCATTTGTATTGTTTTCTCTCATCAGTCATTGGTCTGTGATTGAAATAATCAAAAATGGTTTGGATGACCATCCCCCACAAAAAACAAGTGATTCCAGGTTCTAGACATTTGACATATTCTGACTAAAATCTTCCATGCGCTAGTACATGTACCTACCCGAAAGTCTGCAAATCAGTCCATATATTTCTCACTTAAAAATCATCCCTATGCATATCATCCAATGCACAGTCAGACTGTTTTTTTTTCAACTGAGCCCCAAGTGTAAGTATGGGTAGAATTGCCTTGCAGAGTGGTCAGGCCGCTAACCCACGTAGTATCATTGATTGCATGGCAGACTGTCCAAGGTCACTGTTGCATCTTTTATTTGTGTGAACACAGCCCATTACAGTTTCACTCTTCTGCGGTCCAGGTTCCAGCAACCAGTGTTCCATTCATGATTCATCCTTCTCCCACTGTCCCTACCCCCTCTCCCATTTCCTAGGTTGCAACCCGTTTCACAACTGTTCCACTGACGGTGTTCTTTTGTGCCTCTGTTCAGCACAGGATGCTTAACCCATGCAGGCATGCATTTACATGTAACTTGCTCAGTGATTCATTCTACGAAGGAAAACATTCCCCAAACTGGTCCCCTTTGCACGGTTCCCATTGCGGCAAGACGCTCGGAGTGAACATTTCTCAGAGTGGGTTCTCTCCACAAGGAAGCATCGAGCCTTGCTCTCCCTAGGGACGTTCAAAGGACAAACACTGCCCATGGGTGTTCCTGTCTCATTACTTGAATACACAATAGCTCTCAGAACACTTTTACTTGGAAGAGAGCGTGTAGTCAGTAGCATAGCGCTGTTTTTCAATGCTATGGTACCTCCATGGTAATACCAACAGTACCGGTATTTCACAAACTTCAGTTTTCATGTAAAGGTAGGAGTGATTTTTAAAGGCCTCCATACATATGTATTGTGCTTACGTACATGAAGTGAAAGTAAAATCAGTGTTGCTATTATTTTCTCACCAATCTGTTCTGTCTCCTGACTGGCAGATAGCCTGTCACACGGTATGCACTGCTTGCAATGATTTACCTGCTTCCAAAGATGGTGCTGTTGATAAGCAGTGTTTTGTCCTCAGCAGAACCAGAAAATTGAGCCCAACAGAACTACTGGTAATTTTGCCCAGTATAGCAATCTGTCAAGCAAATCAAAATGTAGCTAAGCTGAAGAGATCCATGGCCAATAGTCTTAGCCTTAACTCTAACAGTCCTCAGTCCTCCAACAGGTGAAGGATTGAGGACTGTTAGGGTTAAACCTTCTATGGTACTCAAAACCCATCCTTTTGGAATTTGTTGGATATGGGAAGTGAGGTTTAACCATTGTTAAACAGTCCTGTGTCAGGCAGGACGTGATACCTTTTGATTTTGGAGATTAGGCAAAAAAGCCTCAATTGGGTCAGTTTCCTTTTACTTTATTTCGTTCCTTCCCTCCTCCACCGTCAGTTCCAAGTTTTTAGGAGAGAAGCGCCGTCGGGAGCAGGAGACGTACTTGGAAGAGCTGGCTGAGCTAATCAGTGCCAACCTGAGCAACCCTGAGTCCCTCAACATGATGCCGGACAAACGAGCTATGCTCCTGGAGGCAGTCAACAAGTTTAGGCACTACCGCTTGCAGCAGCAGCAGCAAGGTAAACAAGGAAGGAGGCGGGGTCTTGACCGCCTGAACTGGGAGGGTTTTTGGATGAGAAGCTTATCTGCTTGCTGAGATTGCAATCACAGCGGTGGTCTGGGAAATACCATCTCCCCCCACTTTTCCCAGAGCCCAAAACATCTTTTTGAAAACTGTACTGACAGAGAGGCAATTTTGGGCCTCTTTCTTTTCTGTCAGTTGTACAAGTGCATGTAAACATCCTCTAAATGTTGCCTCAACTCTTAGAAAGGCCATTGAAGGTTCAATTTTGGGGTACATGTGTCTCCTTCCCACCCAAAATTTTGACCCATCAAAATTTGATTCTGGATGTACCCTTTGGTGTTTGGATTGGAAGCTCATCTTGTCCAATGTGGAAACAGCAGCATGGTAAAAAGGACATCACTGAAATCTGCAACATCTGCAGAATTCTCAAATTTTGAAGCAAATCTCCTTGTAGAGATTGCACCAGCAACAGTAGGAAGAGCAGTGGTAAGTTGAGAAGGGGATCTTTGAGGTCCGAATTTGCATGTCTTTTTTGACCTCTGACCCCCTGACCTCTCTTGCAGACCTGGAGCAAGGCAGCGAAGTCCAGCACAGCCACGTCTCCTCCAGCAAGCCTGGCATGTTGTCCAGCGACTCCCTGGGCAATGCCCTTTTGGAGGTAAGGCTCTTATGAATTGAAGACATTGTAAGGATTTTTTTAAACAGAAAGAAAAAAAGAGTAGCTGATCTATTGCATTTCTAAGTCAACAGACTTCAGGCTTTTGGTTTCTCTAACTTTTGAGTGGATCTGGGATTTGGAGAATTTTTGGGGGAAATGGAGCCAGGTTATTGTTAATTTTCAGGGGGCACGTTGCCTCTCAAGGATAAGTGCTATAAAATGTTCTGTTGCTTTCCTGCACAGTGGGGAATTTGGAGGAATCTCAGCTGAAGCTGCTCAAGGAGCTGAGGTACATTCAGGATTAAACCTTTCTGCTTCTTGAATATGTCTACTATGTAGAATTACAGTCCTTGGTTCTGGAGTGCTGCATTCAGGCAGTGACAGACTGTTGAAATAAGTGGTGCCCATTAAATGCAGTGACGGACTGTTGAAATAACTGGTGCCCATTATTGTATTTTGCGACAATTATTTCTACTCACCATTTGCTCTCGTACTCATCATACTTTTAGCTTGGCCTGTCATGGTAATTTGAATTTTTTATGGCATATGAACAATTTGGAGAAAGGTCAAGAGTCAGATTCGTGGGGTGAGGTTGGGGCATCTGACTGATATTTAAGTATTTGAAGGAATGAACCCATCAGGAGCCATTGGGGTTAGACAAGAGACATCTGTAGGGATTCTATTTCAGCGTTATCAAGTCGTGGATGCAGATTTGGGGGTCAAAAACAAGATAACGGGCAAAAGTGGAATGTAGACGGGCCTGGTGATGTCATGGAAAGTCGTGGTGTTTCTGTCTTGTCTGTTGATGAAGAAGGGAACTGGTGTGGGGATTTTTGTCAGATGTGCTGCCTAGACGTGGCTTGGATGGCTGGTTTGCCTATACCGGCACTTGACGAGAGGTGGTGCGGTGAACAGCGCCCCCTAGCTGCGGATTGTCAGAGTTCCACACTGTGCTGATTATTTGCTTCAGACTGTAAAATAATGATGGAAAGTGCAAGCATGCAGCTTGTAGACGAGGCTCCTTTGGAACAACCCAAGATCTACAATCAAGACTCTCTACTGAGGACTTGTCTTATGGTATCACAGTTTTTACCAGACTGAAAAACAAGAAGACGTAACATGAATTGTATCATTTGAAATCGATACTGTTTCTCTGTAATTTCAATTTAGATTGAATAAAATTACTGGTACTTGGGAGT